CCATCCTGCACATCCTTCAAAGTTCCTGATGACTTTGTAGAAATTTGGAATGAATCAAAATTTTGGGGAAGAAGGAATAGAACATGCGAGCATCATTTTTGTTTGTACTCTGCTGTTATACCTCATGTACTTTCCACAACCTTTATGCATCCTATCAGCATTCCATCACAAACTGAGTAGTGTTTCCACCTGTACTTAGCAGTGACGAAGCCCATCTGCAGTGCTGGGTCCAGTTCTGGCCTCACCAGTACAAGGAGGACATGGCAATACTGAAGTGAGTCCAATGAAGAGCCACAAAAATAATTAAGAGATTGGAACATCTCTCATATGGGAGGGACTGAGACAACATGAGAAGAAAAAAATCAAGGGAGATCTTATCAATGTGTATAAATACCTGATGAGAAGAAGTAAAGAGGACTGAACCAGACTCATGGTGTTGCCCAATGACAGGACAAGAGGCAGGGTGCAACATCTGAAATACAGGAAATTCCATTTAAACATAAGAAAAAAACTTCTTTTACTGCAAAGGTGATTTTTATTTTATTTCTTTTTTAATCTCTAGCCTGGTGTGACTATGTGTTCCTCAGAAGGGTGAAGGTTGCCCAGAGAGGTTGTGGTTCTTTGAGATTTTCAAAATCCAGCTGGACAGAGTCTTGGGTAAACTGCTCTGCTGACCCTGCTTTGAGCAGAGGGGTTGGACTAAGCAATCTCCAGAGGTACCTTCCCCAACGATTCCGTGACTCTGGATTTCACTTGCAGTCAGTCTTCTTATTTCTTGCTGCCATCATTTGATATTGCAATATACATAGGTTGGAGGGTGCTTCTTACATTCCACTCTTTATATTTCTGTGCATCAGAATTATAACTTATATAGTTTAACTGTTAAAACACCTACTTTAAAGACACAAACCAAATCATCTGGGACAGCTAGTAAAAAACATTATTTCTAAAGTAGTAATGTTCATCACTGAAAACATCTTATTAAAAAAATATTTTAAGATGAAATACTGATTTGTTTTCGTGGCAGAGAAAATCAGCTGTAGCACAAGACATCAGAATTAAATTACCAGGCTTCCCATTGTCTTTCCTTTTTAAATTGAAATTACAGGATCTTTAGGGTGCTTCTTTTTTATATGATTTTATGAAGCTTTGAGTAATAGGCCCTGAGCTTGCTTAACGATAACAGGAACTATAATAATCCAAATAATAGAGTAAAATACAGAAAACAAATTTCATGGTGCCTTAATCTGAGAGGCACTTATTTTAACCCTTTGGTGAGTGCATAAGATGCTTTTCTGAATTCCACATCAGTTGGTAGGATAATTGCAGTGCTTTGAGCATAAATATGTACTTTGTTCTGTCTTCATTTCATGCACATATTACTTCATTCCGCAGCCTCTGAGGTGAAAAGCACACCCAAACGGAAGCAAGGGAAGAGAAAAGAGGAAACCAAAGTAAATCAATTATTGCCTTCAGCCTTGAGAAACTCATACATTTGACTTGTAACCGCACATGTGCTGTGGTGGTTCAGCTCTTCACACACTGAAAGTACACTCAGGAGGTGAAAGTAAATTTCCAGAACATACTAAAGGAACGATCTAGCTCTTATTCCCTATAATGGGCAATCACATAACCAAAAAGGTATATATTTAAAGTATTTGGAGTAACCTCTGGGCAAAAATCCCTTCCCCAGATCTACTGATTTAACGCAACTCATTAGTGAAGAGTTAAAAAAAGCTATGAAACATGTTGTATATAGGTTACTAACATGCAGGTGCCTTTAGAGGAGAGGCTGGCCTTTTGATAGCTTAACTTTTCACTTAAAATAATTAATTTTAGCACTGGTATCTAAAATTAAAAATAAAAAAGTGATTGATTTCAGAAAAGATAAATGAAGGTATTTATTTGGAGTGAGGGGAACATGTTTTCCTAAGAAAGATTTTAAAAGTTGATTATTTGGATATAATAATAGGTAGAATCAGAGATGTATTGTGAGAAATGTAGTAATGGCCAAAGAGATTCCAGGGTTAAATTCACCATGGAGGGAGCTTTTCCCTCACATTTCAAGAAAGTCAAAGGAATCACCAACCAGCAGCTCAGAACAGAATTCAATTTACATTGATAAATAGCTTGTGCAGGTACAGAAGGGCATTTCTAGAGTAATGAGGTAAAACTATTAATGGAAAATGTTTTGAAGAAATGTCCTGACAGCAAACAGAAAGCAGTCTCACAGGAAAAGCAAGAGAAATTCAGCTGCCTGGGAAGTTTATGCTGCAACTGGACAGAGACCTAGGGATCTGTGATAGAGCGCCCTGTTTCAATTAAAGAGATGAGCCAGAAGAGCTTCTAGCCTTTCCCATCTTTGTGTTTTATGAGTACAGGTGTTACAGGCATGCAAAGTAGCATATCTTAATTGTCATCTCCAAATCAGACCAGTTCCACTTGTGTTTGGTTTAGCATACTGTATTTTGATGAAGTTTTCATCTGATTTCCCTTAAGGACAACAGTAGCATTTCCACTTATTCAAGAAGTCAAGCTCTTATGCTATTTCATTTACTATGGGCGTAGAGAACTTAAAGTGTGAATTAAAACAATGGAAAAACCTTTGTGACATGACACAGGAGAGCAAACCTAGAACTTTGACAGTACAAATAGCTGTTGACTGCCAGAGCTTTACTCATACACTGGTAAACTTTGCTCTGGGAAGAGAAAGCTGCACAAAGAGCTGCTGGAGCCCAAGAACTTCAAAGCAAACGACATGGAAGTGCAAATCAATAGAGTAACCACATGAAATTTTTCAAGGGTATTTCATGCCTTCATGTGTTCATTTCAAAACGTTACCTCACAAATTCCCACTAACGCTATCTTTCTTGAACTCTCTAGCTATTTCCTGAGAAAAATCTAACAGGTCTTAGAGAATCATTGTTATAAGCTTGAGATCTTGTCAGAAGATGCTTGGAGAATTTCATTTGAGCTGAACTTTTTTCAGTACAGTGCTTCCTGTGGGGAAAAGGTACAAAACTTCTGTCATGT